TCGGTGGAGGTACGTTGATGAGGGATGGTGGTGTTGTCGTAGCATCGGGGAGGGGAGAATGGGGGATGGAGCGGTACTACGCCTTTCTGATGTAAAATTAAATAAATGAGAGCACAAGTTGTAATTTGACTTGCACGTAACGAAATTCAAAACGATCGTGAGATTTCCCCAGAGGGTCGGTGGATGGAATTTCGAATAGAACAATTACGGGACTAATTTCAAATAATATGTAGTTGATAATAATATGGTACATTAGATTGATACTATTGTGAATCAATATACAAGCCTATAGTAATATTAGCAGTTTGTGGTTATATGCATAATAGTATAGTAGTGAATATAATTAATGTTATAATATAGTGAAATGATGATACCGACCGAGTCTAGGATGATAGGAGCACTCCTCCTTGATAGACTATGTCGTTTTAGGCTGCCCTTAGAGCCCTTGATGAGAAGTGGAAGGAAGCGACTGTTGGGAGGACTACTGCTGTTCGAGAGTAATCTCTCTTTGCGGTTCCACAGTCTTAGGCAGTCTACGATTCTTATTAGGCAGCTAGCAGCAGTTATGAGTAGTGGTAAGGAGGCTGGTGCCTCTGGTGATGACGGTGATGATGGGCGTCTACAGCTCCAACGGTCGGTGTTGGAGGCGGACATGCGTACTCTAGAGGAGATGAAGACAGCGAACGCAGCTGAGGAGTAGGGGTAGATCGAATCGATCGGTGTTGGCGGGGATTGGCGATGTTCAGGGCGGAGGTGAAGGCAGCTCGAGAGGCGGTGGAGGATGCTATTAAAGAGGTCACTGGTCCAATCGACGAGGAGAGGCAGCAGGTCGATAAGCAGAGGCTTGAAGTAGAGGAGAGGATAAGGAAGCTGCAAGAGGAATTGGCTCAGTTGAAGTAAGAGTGGTATCGTCTTACACACACCAGGGTTGATGGGCGGAGCGAAGCAGTTATTGTATTTTTTATTCAGAACGACTAGAGATGAGTGCAACGAGAAGCTGAGCCGGCTGGATGGGGACATAGTAGCGGCCCGGGGGAAGGTAGGTGGGGTTGTTTGGGGGCTTCCATATTCGCCTAGTTCGAGGAGTTTTGGTATGAGAGGGTTTCGGTCGATCGCTGCTGTTGTAGAGTATTTCAAGTGGTTATATATTCAGTTCCAACATGAGCTTGACAATGTGGAGGTGGCTGAGGAGAAGTTCGATAAGAAAACCAAGGCGATGGTGTTGAAGGAGGAGCTCATAGAGCAGCAACGGAAGGCGATCGAGCAAAGGTAGTCTCACTCTGTGGAAGCGGTCACGGTTTGTGGCTTAGGGAAGATGAAATTCATCAGCGACGAGCAGAGGATTTGGAGAATCGCCGCGCGTTAGAGGAGGAGTTAGACGCTCTCGACACCTCACATAAGGTCACCGACCGATGGGTAAGGTTAGAAATTATTGATCTCATATGAGGGGGTTCATGATGTCAGCTGGCGAGCTGTGATAAGCTGGAGTCTGCTGTGGAGGGTAGTGTTGGTGTTATTGTCGAAGGTGCAGAGCTGAGGGCAAGTCTGAGGCGACAGGTCAGTGGTCCGGTTGGGCGGCGGCGATGAGCGGGCCGGTATCAGCCGGTTTAGGTTACTGATGTTGCGGAGCAGCTGTCCACATTGGACCTCGAGATTGGCCGAGTGAGGGCGCAGTTGAACTTGTTGCAGCAGCGAAGGCTTCAGGTGGAGGAGGGGGAGACGATTTGATAGTGATGTATCCTTAATTTAACATTGACTAGAGAGGATTACGGTATGATATGTATAATAATTATTATTATGGAAGTATAACCTATATCTAATAATATACAATATTGGAGATTATCCGATTAAGTGTGGATGATGATCAGATTGAAGAGGAGAAGCAGCAGGCGGTCCGATCACGGAGGTTCGGGGAGGCCAAGAACCTCTCGGTACTATTCAAAGGTGTCTATAGTACTATGACACGACTCTTATTAATTGTCATATTATAATCGGGTTGGGAGAACAATCGTAGAGGAGAGGTCTTAATGCTTCTTCCTGTATTAGGCTGAGGGTAAAACTGTGGAAGAGTCGATCGCGACCACCGAAGAGTCGATAGGTAAGTTGCGGGACCGAAGCACTGCATTGCGCCAACAGCTTGATGAGGCTCAATCGAAGGAAGACGGCCTTCTTGATGGCAGCACAGGTAAGGTAGAGGGGAGGCAGCTTCGCTCCGCCTAATTTTCGTTGTACAGATGTTACGGGATGTGGGGACGTACTTGATGAGATGGCCTTTAGTGTGAAGGCTCGGCTGCATTATGTAGGGGAGGTTGCTGAAGGGGAGGGGTTAAAGCCAGAGGCCGAGATGTGAGCCATAGGAGCTCCTCAAGGGCCACGTATGGAGTGTAGGATGCGTTTATCTCAGGTTGGAAGCCTTGGACGCTGAAATAGCGAAGCATTTGCCATCAGAAGCTGGGGAGAAGCTGAGGGTGCAAATGGCTGCCCTGGTGAACTCGGATACACGAGCAGTGTCACCACAAGATGGTGACACGGCCAAGTAGCGCTGGTGGTCT